GGCATGCGCGAGGCAAAAAGTATCCTGGTCTAAACAAAACCACTTTGTGTTGTTGTTTAAATGTCTGTTTGTCGTACGAAGAATATCGTCGCGGTTACGACTAGTCTCATTGTTTGAAGGTAGACTAGAAAGGTTTGGCTCAGTCGACAACAGTGTCCTGCCTAAGCGATGGACAGGAAACCTTTCATCGCAGGCGGATGACGGATAAATTCAACCAGACCGGCTGGAATATTCGGCTTTTAACCTGAAAGCGAAGCACATCCGCGGTCTGACTGCTTTGGAGCTGGTGATATGCTGGTTGATATGCATCCTGCGGTGCGGCAAGCATTTTGACACGTGTTACTGAGGGTCTCTATGGTTTAGTTGGCTGGAAGTTGAGCATCTGCTGAATGCGCATTTGGCCTTTGTTTGACATCGGTCCTGTTGAGGACTTTTCCCACGCGTTTCAGAAGAACAATTTGACCAAATTGGAATTTTATGTGAAACGTAGTTTGCAGCATCCCTGCAATCATGTCGCCGAAACCAAAAAGCTCAAAACGTCTGAAAGGTTCGAATTATACGGATTCTGCTTTTGAATACTCAACAGAAGGGTGAAAATTTTTAAAAAAGTGAGAGTCTGGCTGCTTCTGATCAAGTCTGAACCTGGAAAAGACCGGTGATACGTCAGCCAGTTTAAAAAGTCCCCTTTGTCGATATCTGTGCTCGATTCTAGAATAAACATGTTTCCTAAAAGCCGCTCCCGTCTGCGGTAACTACGTTTCAGCTATCCTTGGGAATCTTTTTCTCACGCTTACAATGCTGTCCCAGCCTTCTTGTAGCTGTACATGAAGGGCTATTGTACTATGAAGCAGTTGGATGTTCGGAAATTATCGATGTAATCAAGCAAACAAAATAAATCAACTTCGTGCAGGAAACTACTCACAGGGTAGCTGAAAACTCTTCGACAGCCCACGGCCGGTTTTGCCCATCTTGGGGCTCATCAGGTAGGCGCAGTCCCCCAGTTACCGTCAACCTTATGTTCTTCTTGAACCCAAATTGGACTGTTTTTGAGAAAAACACTCTTCTGCAAATCAATTTGGTTTTCACGAGAGACTCAATTGAATCTCTCGTTTATGATGTTCTACAACTGAATGTGCTTCACATAAGTTGGCTCATGTTTCAGTTGGCATGATATTCGAGACATCGCAGTATATTTTCATAAGGGAAACCACTCACAAGTTTGCTGAAAACTCTTCGATAGCCAGTATCCCCCTTCTTGGGGCTCATCAGTCGAGTCTGTCGTTTGTTGCTGTTCAAACAGACCTGTTTCTGTTAAAAGACAGCGCAGTATCTCAATCATGTCTCCGTCCAACGTCCCAACTTTAGGCTCAAGTTCGTGGAGCTTATTGCGATACCTCGAATACTGTACCAACTGAAACACGAGACGGCCAACGAAGCACGATGGCTGGGATACTGGACCGGGAGAACTTGAGAGACAGAAGTCGGGTTAGAGTTGCGGACCTTCCGATCAGTAAATGCGTACTCTAACCAGTGAGTCATCTGGCCTGAGAAGCCAGTCATTCTCGACTGCGATGTCTCCTAACTAACGTGTGTTCCTAAGGCTGCCCATGGTCAATATTCAAGACCTCGGTGTATTTTCAAGACCTTAGTCGTTCATTAATAGTGCGCAGGAGGTGGGGGAGCCAGATTGTGGGGAAAAGCTGTGAGCAGTGGAGTCCCTGACAAGCTATGACAAGCCACTATTCATTGCTCAACCATTGGAAAAAAAGCCCTTCGACCGAGGTCTTCTGTTTTCTGTTTTATGTCTGGCTAAGTATCTAACATACCCAGAGTACATATCTAGTTTGCACCGTATTTCTATTCGCAACCAATCGTATTTTAGTCGTTATGTATGAATCTTCGTGGGCATGGCGCTTCTGAGGATAAATTAGGCTCGTTCTCTAAGTAGCTAACAACATCTTCCCTGTTGCACCGTAACTCCACGTGACGAAAGTTGACCGCGTGATTATGCCTCGTGTTGGGAGGGACAACAACACCTGAATTTGAATTTTTAGCATCTCAAGGTGACGTACGTTTGCAGCAAGGTTTTAGAAACTCTTGGAGTTTCCAATCATCGCCGAAAAAAGTTATATTCTCCTTGCAGGAATGTAACGAATGAGGCTAGAAATTCCCTAAAAATCTTGGTTAAAAATACCTAGAGGTTGTAAACCGATCACGCTTCCTAAATCCAGGCAACGCCCTATATAAGTGCTCTGAAGCGTTTAGCTGTAGCACTCTTTAGGTGCCTAGCTGCCATGCCACCCAAAGGAAGCACGAGGGCTGGGGTAGTGCCAGATTGCCCAAGCCTAGACAGGGGAAGTCGAGTGGCGGAGGTCGGATTCGAACTACGAACCTTCCGGTCAGTAAATTCGCGCTCTAACAACTTGGGCCATCTCGCCCCCCATATAAGTGCTCGGTAGTTACCTGCATTTTGTGATAGGTTACTCAAGGAGTGTATCTACGGAACCTGTTGAGGTAGGCCGGTCTAGGAAAAGATACTGAATTCCGCCAGATTAATTGATCAAAAAGGGACGTCTTCGTGTCAGACAAAACACTGAGATTGAAGATAACCCTTAAAGGTTTGGATGGCTTACCTGTAGGAACTAGCTCACTAACAGCCAATGCTCTGGTCAACTCAAGTTGGGGACTATGATCTGCCACGAAACTTTTGTTGTCATCCGCGGACACCCCGACGAGACTGTGGTCCACACGGCACTGAAGACGAATTTTTCGGAACGTGGAAAAAACACCGTTGGTTGCAAGAAATTCGCCAGCTTTCCCCTGTCCCGGGTCATTCTGACACAAACGTGCAATCCGTGTAACGCGCACGGTTCTGAAAATGGACTGAACATGTGGCAACGGGGAAGGGGGGAAGGGGTTACTGACGTTACGCAAGTTGTTCACCGGCATCGATTGTACCATCAAGCATCCGGTGAGAAAACTTTCATGTTATGATAAAGCAAGAAAACGCACTCCAGTTTTCACGAACATGGTTTGTTCAAAACTGTGTACTCTGTTGAAAATATACAATAATCTTTTTACGTTTTCTGAGAAACTTTGTGAGCCGAGTTTTTGTGGCGGTTAGAGGCTGAGGGTGAGCACAAAACTTACTCGAGTAATACGAAAACCAGCGGAATCATTGTGGCTTTGTGACGGGGTCTCTAACCTGCCTTCCACTGGTCGCATCAGGCCAAATGTCGATAGCTTGGAATTATGCCTTCAATATTCCACAAACTAAGGTATTCTTAGGGTAGGAAAACCATTTGTGAAAGATAGAAGGGAAAACAGAGCTTGCAAATAAGAGTACGATTTGTTCAACTCATTTTAAATCCTGGTGTACGACCGTGACTGGAGTGCGAACCATCCCGGATCTGTGACAATCAACAAGAGCAATTCTGCCCACGCGTTTAGGGTTCCCTAATTCTAGTGGATTACTTCTGTTAGTTCTTTCGCGAGTAACGCCTTGTGAACCGTCGATGGTCCGAAACTCGCATTTTACTATGGGAATCCCGAACCACTCCTTCTGAATGGACTGACCGTTTGGCGGGCTGTCCCTACATACCGCGATTGTCCCTGAAGTACGACAGAATTTCCAGTTTTTTT